TCTCCACAGTGGCTGATCGAAAAAAGACCCACAGTCCGTTGTTAATTGGGGCAAAGAATAGCTTGTTAATTTTAACGCCTCCAAAATAAGACTGATCTCTGTTAATCATCTGATATACGCCTGTTTGCCTTCTATCCCACTGGTTGGCCTCAATAAAAATAAATAAAAATAAATAAAATAAAAAATGTAAATAAAAAAACAAAAAAAAACAAAGAAAGAATGTAAGTAAAAAAGAATGAATTAAAATTAATGTGGCTAGTCGGGCTGTATATGTCTGAGCCTGATCGAAGCTGGATACATACTCAACAGGCAACGGTTTTCTTATTTTACAAATAATCTTTTAAAATTCCTTGATGACTTGTATTCCCTGTTTTTCAAAGAACACGTTTTTATTTCAAATTATGGTTTCCAAATATCTGTTTTAAATAATTTATTCCGTACAATATAAGTTGTTTTTTTTTTTTTTTAGCGAAATGTATCTTTTCAGAAACGGCAAATTAAATTTAACCCGACCATAAAAATTCGGTGAAAATCAAATAAAGTGTCAGCCTTAAATCGTTGACTGGAGGCTTTGGGTGAGGAGTGTGACTGGAGTAGTGTTGAGGTAATATGATATCAGTCAGCAATTACAAAAAAAGTAAATTTTAAGAGGGGGCATATAAGAATAAAGAAAAGATAGAGCTATCACTTTAAAACCTCAACAATCCAAACTGCTATCAGCAAGCACTGTCGTTTCACTCCGTCACCCTTTTGCCTTTCCTAACTTTTCTTTATCCTTATGCCTCCCCTCTTAAAATTTACTTTGTTTTTTAAAAAAAAAAGAAAGAAAGAAAAGGAAGTGACGTTCCACGTGCAGCCTGCTTAAAAACAGAATTGTTCATAACTATTTTGGTTCTCACCAGTCGAGGTGCAACTAAATGCACCGAAACGAAGTTGCATCTTTGTAGTGAGTAAATTGTTTTAGTCTATAGGAAAAATTTATATTAAATAATTATTGCTCGACAATCGGTACTGAGCCCTCCGAATAGAAAATATTCGTCCTCCGACAGGAATCGAACATGAATCCTATTACATAACCTGACGTGCCTTTAACCGATTGGGCCACAGAGGAGCGTTCGGTTAGCAAGGTCGATTTTATTGTCTTTAAACTTCAATCTTCCATGATTCTCCCTCGTACATTCATATCTGCTCATGGCGTATCCAAATGTAAACGAATATTTTCTATAAAAATTTCTCGGAACTTCAGGCCGGTAAATGTTGTTTAATACTGTTTATTATAAACAGAGCATTTACTTAAATATTTGTATCTATAAAAAGAATGCATAAATATAAAAATGTATTAAAATAATTGTCGGAATTTATCCATTTCATATAATATATATATATATATATATATATATATATATATATGTATGTATGTATGTGTGTGTGTGTGTGTGTGTATTCAGTTGTATGAATATGATTTTGTGTCCGCGAGTCTCTTTCGCTCTCCCGCTCACTCTCTCTCTATATATATATACAGAGAGAGAGAGAGAGAGAGAGAGAGATTTTTTCGTCTGACTCGGGTCCGCAATCATAAAATCAATGAGAATCCTGTGTGACAACCTCGCTATACATTTCTTGCTTTCTTTCTTTCTTTCTTTCTTTCTTTCTTTCTCACTCTCTTTCTTTCTTTCTCTCTCTCTCTCTCTTAAACAGGCGCCATTGTTATCTACAGACAGTTGAGAAAAGACAGTCATTGCGTGAACGCTCACAACTGATGTATTGTTTTTTGTCTACGCTGTGACGTCATCGTGCAATCCTCCACCCTCCCCCCACCACACGCACACACCACCACCACAACCGCCATCACCGCCACCTCCTTCTGACTTAACGGATATTCATCTTATGGTCGTCGCAGCATTTTTTTTCAAGTTGATCCAGATGGAACAACAAGGTCTCTGACCGAGGTCACATCTGACCATAGTCTCTCTCTCTTTCTTTCTTTCTTTCTTTCTCTTTCTCTCTAACGCTCTCTCTAACTCTCTCTCTCTTTCTTTCTCACTTGCTCTCTCTCTCTTTCCCTCCCTCTCTTATTCATTCTCTCACTGCCATCTTCGCTTACAACTCCCTCTATCTTTGTTTATCTCCTTAGTCTCTCTTTTTTTTCTCGTTCTCATTTATGTTTCACTACCGCTTTCTTTCACCTTACTTTGTGTTTCTCTATCTTATATCACTTCACTCTATATCCCTCTCTCTTTCATTCATTCTCTCTCTGTCCTCTTCTCTTACATCTCTCTCTTTTTATATATATCTTTCTTTATCTTGCTCATCTCTCTTTTCTTCTCTCTCTTTTTTATTTTTCATTCTCTCTACCTTTCGTTTTACCCTGTCTTTCTCTACCCTATATCTCTTCACTCTGTATCCCTGCCTCCCCCTCTCACTTTCTCTCTCATTCATTATCTCTCTGTCCTCTTCTCTTACAACTCTCTCTATTTATCTATCTTTGTTTAACTTCCTCGTCTCTCAGTTTTTGCTTTGGTGTCCTCTCCTACGTCCACCTTCAACGGTGACTTGCATGTCGTGCCTTGTAATGTATCCAAAACAACGCCATTTTTTCTCGCTGTGACAGTTGCAAGATGTCCCGTCCCTGGTGTACCACACAACGTTCATGCCTTTTCCGCACAAACTCATTGTTTTTTTTTTGTTCCCAATAGAAAATGCCAAGGAGTTTTCTCATGCATTTGTTCTCAAATGCTTTGATCTCACTGTATTTGCACCTCCATATTCTTGTCAATTTGACCATGGTTGCCATGGCTGCGGCAATCCGTGTGCGGGTTTACGAGTTATTGATGCCATCTTGGATCTCTCTCTCTCTCTGTATCTGCCAATAGTGTACACGTTTCACATCCATATAAGAGAATGGAGATTACCAGCGATTTTTTACAGTCTGGACTTTGTTTGAAAACTGATTTTGCTCCTCCATATTCTTGTCAATTTGTCCATGGTTGCCATATATATATATATATATATATATATATATATATATATATATATATATATATATATAATTAAGTTATGAAGAATTTGGTAAACCGAATTGGTAATTCCAAAGAGGATGAAATCCTGAAAGCTCAATGTGAAGAACAGAGCCAATATTTAATGAACAACAGACACTTTAAGGTACCATTACAATAATTTATTTCACCAAAATCCTTTTTTTTTTTTTTTTTTTTTCATTGTTGGAAGTGTTACCTGATGATCCAAAATCCTTTAAAAAGGATTTTGGTGAAATAAATTATTGTTATGGTACCTTAAAGTGGTCTGTTGTTCATTAAATATATATATATATATATATATATATATATATATATATACCCAAGTATATAATTGGTATATACGGAATGAATTCCAATAACCAACAATTACTATTCTTAAAAGAGTGCTCAATACAAAGTAGAGCAGATATAATTATTATTTATAAAAAAAATTATAACATAAGTATGTTATTAAAAACACTACAAAAATAGCCATTTTGTTTCAACACACTCGGTGTCTTATATTTATATATATATATATACCGGGGGTAACAGTAAAATTCTCCAAATCGTGTAACAGCAAAATTGCCCAATTGTTAGATTAAGCACTGAATCGCTGTATTTTAGAAATGATTAAAAATATCTTACTGGAATTCTCCGATGTTTTTATAACCCTATTGGACTCTACTTAGAGTAATAAGAATGTATAATTAGTCCAAGCTTAACAGAGAATCGTGAAGGAATCGATCATAAACGAAAATGCCATGTTCTTCATTAATTAATCATAGCTAAGGATCGCAAGATCATGAAGGATTGAAATAAAGTTCAAATATATATATATATATATATATATATTCCAGCATCATTTTCAAACTTATTCAAGGTGAGCTTCGCCCTCTCTAACCTTTTAACTTTCTGTCCTGGAGTAACAAGATGCCTCACGCGTTTCACGTACGATTTCATTTTCAAGTCTTTTTTGCTCTTTAGCCAAATGTCTTATGGATTGAGTTGGATCTTTTCTAATTGATTTCTTTAGCTATGAGCTGAAATGATGATCTCTCTTCCTCTTGTGACCTCCTAATCTAGTTTTCCCCTCTAGTGTTCCCTCTTTTTGTTGTGGTAAACACCCCTACATTAGAATGAACTCTTCCTCCTCCCATAAATACTAATGCGAGAATCGGTTGGGAAGCGGACGTACACCTCTATCTGCTTATTACTAAATTTATTGCTTTGTTTTTATGTATCTCTTATTTCAATACACTTGTTCAACCTACTTTCGTCTTCTGTGTCTTTTTTCTGGCCCCTAAACTGGCCACAACACTTTTTTTTAAAGATACCGTTCTCTTGATGGTTACTGAACGAACCTTGAAGATAGAAGCCAGAGTATGAATGTTAGTAACATTACTGAAGGCCTCTCACCATTGATCAATTGAGAAGACAGTGAGGCCGACACAAAATGTTAATTATGTTTTATGAATATGTCCTGAAGATGATCTATTAGACCGAAACGTCCGACGTTGACATTAAACATTAAAACAGCATAATCGCATATTAGGATTTTTGTTTGTTTTTTTTTTCAGTATATTTTTCTTCATATATATATATATATATATATATATATTCAATTAGCTAAGTTGAATTTGGCCTAAAAGCTACTCGAATCTCAGTCGAAAAAGTGTTTTTACTGTTTCGCACACGCCATCACAAAAATATACGTTTCTCTTCGCCTTTCTATTTTTTACTGTCCATCCATGAGCTTTTTGAAGCAGGCACCAATACACATTTACATGTTAGAAAGAAATGAGCGAACGTTCGCACAATTAATCGAAGTTGATAGCTATTTTAGATCGATTAAACTATTCATGCTTTGATTAACCAAGTCGCATTAATCATTCACGTTATCGATTTACCCTGTTATCGGTCCAACCAGCTCTATTACAGTATGTACATTGAAATCGTCATAGCACAGGAACTCTACATTTGATGAGAGTTATTCTGTCTGTCTGTCTGTATGTATGTATGTATCTATCTATCTATCTATCTATCTATCTGGTTCGGTCTTTTCATATCTATGTTTCAGTATATTTATCTGTTTCAACCTATGAATTCATATCAATCTGTTCTCTTTCTGTTTCTATCTATCTATCTATCTATCTATCTATCTATCTCCACCAATGCATTCCCGTCAAGCTGTCTGCTCACATCACTCTCTCTTTCACTCTCTCCCGCTCTCTCTCTCTCTCTCTCTCTCTCTCTTTCTATTTATCTATCTTATCTTGTTCATATTTATTTTACCCTATGTATTTAAATCAATTTGTTCCTGTCTCTAACTGTCTTTCTGTCTCTCTCTCTCTCTATCTATCTGTTTGTACCAACCTATGCATTTATATCAATCTGTTCTTTCTTTCTTCCTTTCTTTCTTTCTTTCTTTCTTTCTTTCTTTCTTTCTTTCTTTCTGCATCGATCTGTTTGTCTTCTTCAGTGCATTCCTGTCAATCTCTCTGTTCATGTCTCTCTCTCCCCCCTCTCTCTCTCTATCTATGTACCTATTTCACCCAATGAAGTCATATCTATCTATCTATCTATCTATCTATCTATCTATCTATCTCAGTCTGTTCATTTCTATCTATCTATCTATCTATCTATCTATCTCCTCTAATGTATTTCCAACCTGTCTGTCCATAACAAATTCCATCTGCAACATACTTGAAGAAAATATAACTATAATAGCTTCATCTACATGTAATAATGGAAGCACTAATAATAAAAAAGAAAAAGCCAACACTCAATAACATCAACTATGAACACGGCCACAATTTGATGACGGTATTTAGTAACTGCCCCACGCAGTCACATGTGGCACAAGGCCGAATTTTAAGTGGGGTTCCCGAGCCCGTAGGCTCGGCCAAAAAAATACCCGTAGACCCCGCATAAACGGGGTCGGGTCTGTCTACCTTCCCGGGCGAAACTCTGCCCTTCGTCATAGCCTCGTCCGGGTTCCTCTCTGCCTTCGGGCAGAGAGTTCGACTAAGCGCAGCAATTTGATGACCGTGTTTGAAAAATAATTAAACATTCACATCACTCTAAAACGTATAAAAAACTACACATTCTTTTAAAAAAAAAAAAACAAAGAAAAAAAAACCCATTGATAATGGCAAATAGAATAGTCAAAAGCGCTCCAATATCCAGAACATTTGCACAATTCTTATAAACTTTATGTTCAGGAAAAAAACAACAAAAAAAAAAAAAAACACTTGAGAGCACTTTATTGGGCCTTCATTACAATAAGAAGGAGTGGATGTGATAGGCAACAATAAACTACAGAACTCCAAATTGATCGCTGCATTTAAGTATTGCATTAATATTTAAGCTTACCTTTTAAAAAGTTCAACAAGAATCCTTCTGCTGCCAATTTAAAGACAATTTGATGTACGCAGATCTTTACTTTTGTGGATAAACAATTAGTTTTATTTCATGGATGACTTTAGCCGGATTTCGAAATTAATTTCCATTATTCCCAAATTTATTTCCAAGTTATAAAAATTGTTATCGCACAAAAAGGGGTTACAGGGTGTGGAGGAATTAGGAACAGAAACATTACTTATGAGCAGAAAGAGAAAAAAGCAATCAGGAGGGCAGTAGATAGTGATTGACATTGCACTTAAACTTTTACAGATTAAAGTTGGCTGGAAAGCATAGAGAGAGAAAGAGAGAGAGCAAGAACTTATCAGATAGATAGATAGATAGATAGATAGATATGAACAGATTTGATAGATAGATAGATAGATAGATAGATACGAAAGGGCTGAGATAGATAGATAGATAGATAGATAGATAGATACGAACGGGCTGAGATAGATAGATAGATAGATAGATAGATAGATAGAGAGATAGATAGATATGAACAGATTTGGATAGATAGATAGATAGATACGAAAGGGCTGAGATAGATAGATAGATAGATAGATAGATAGATAGATAGATAGATACGAACGGGCTGAGATAGATAGATAGATAGATAGATAGATAGATAGAAAGGGGCTGAGATAGATAGATAGATAGATAGATAGATAGATAGATACGAAAGGGCTGAGATAGATAGATAGATAGATAGATAGATAGATAGATAGATAGATAGATAGATACGAAAGGGCTGAGATAGATAGATAGATAGATAGATAGATAGATAGATAGATACGAAAGGGCTGACATAGATAGATAGATAGATAGATAGATAGATAGATAGATAGATAGATAGATAGATACGAAAGGGCTGAGATAGATAGATAGATAGATAGATAGATAGATAGATAGATAGATAGATGAACTCATTCGAAAGTGTCAGCAGGTAATGAATCTAAACTTTCTCTCAAAGTGCTAGGGTCACTCCTTTGTTGACCCGTGCACATGTGTCTCAAGACATATTTCTCATTTTATTCGCATATGCGTTACCATGTATTTGTGTCGAGCTGTGTGTCTCTCATGTGTGTCTATCTGTTTTAAACTTCTGAAACTTTCTATGGTCTCCTAGAGCCTTTGCCTTTTGGGATCATTTGTGTCAATGTGTGGTTGTATGCGTGTATGGGGGGGCCCATATATATGCGATTGTATACTCACATGTGACTGCAAATGTGCGCGAGTCTATCTGTATGCACGTCGCCTCCCTCTGTCTGTTCTACAAATACTTTCATGGAAATGGCTCCGAGGAGCTGCATTCGCTGATTCCCAGACGTCATGAGTTCCAGCGCCCTACGAGGCTGGCATCCCGCTCTCACCCCTTCACTGTCGAAACTCCTAAATGTAGCCGTCGCTTCTACTCTGATAGCTTCATGTCTCGAACCTCTCGCCTGTGGAAATCCCTTCCCTATTCCAGTTTCCCTGAGAGCTATCATCTCCAGCTATTCAAATGTAATGTCAATCGACATCTCCAGTTGCCTTGATCTATCCACTACCCTTCTCCTCATCCTTTCTTCTATCACTCCTATCTGATCTTGCTCTAAATTTTCTGTAACCCCTTGCGTCCTAGTGGCTTCCCGCCTTGCTTGGGGTGAAATGCTTAAAAAAAAACATCTGAGCTCTCGAAGGTATGTGTGCCTGTGTGCCGTCAAACAATTCATTCGCTGTGTCTGTTGTTATGTGTGTTTTAACGTGCGCGCATGTATAGTTTCTGTGCATAGTGTGTATAAATATTCTGCCTCTCTCTCTCTCTCTCTCTCTCTCTCTCTCTCTCTCTTTAATATTCCACCCACGAGGAATATGTGTGACACAAGGCCGAGTTTAAAGTGGGTTTCATCCGAGCCCGTAGGCTCGGCCAAAAATATACACTTGGAACCCGCCTAGACGGGTTCAGGGCCTGTCTACCTCCCCGGACGAAACTCTCGCTCTCTCTCACTCTCTCTCTTACTCTCTCTCTCTCTGTGCGTGTGTGTGTTTGGGAAGAAGTCACACCGCCAGTGTGTCCACACGATTCGACATTATTTACAAATTTACTCGTCACGCGGGAAAAAAAAACAACAAAAAAACAAAAAAACTGTTCTCCAGTGTATAAAAGCGTCAATACGCGGACATTTTTGTTAGAGACGTGAGCGTATATGTATGTATTAATTTTATACAATGATCTCTCACCCCCACCTCTCTCATTTCTTTTTCCCGCTCTATTTCTCTCATCACCTACGTCTATATTTCTTTCTACGTCTCTTACTGAACCCCCCCCCCAACCGCCACGACCCGTTACTGCCGATCACACTTTTACTGTCATAGACTCCCTCAGTTATTCCGTCTCTATTTCACGTCGTCTTCTCTCTTTCCGTTACTTTCTTTGGTTTTCCTTATTTTTCTGAAACTCTCCTTCCTTCTTTTCTTTCTTTTATTTCACGTCTCTCTCAGAGCACCTCGCAAGTAGCACCCACATAAATATCTATTCATCCACCCACCTATACACACATACAAACGCAGAGATTACTAAAAGTACACATAACCTCTTTTCGGTCAGCCCAACCCGCCACGAATTCGTCTAATAAAAGCAAAAAATAAAACAAAAAAAAAAAAAAAAAGAAAAGAAAAAGAAAAGGAAAATAAAAAAATAAAAAAGAGAAAAAAAAAAGCGAATAAAAAGGAAAAGCTGAAATGCCTAACGAATAGTCTCCCATCCACTACCTGCTTAATCTTCTACCCGGAGTCAGCAAATAGAACGGCCGTATCCTTTCTACACAACACGGACGCGTCTCACCCACGCGCACCACACCCTTTTAACACTGCATCCAGCTCTGCACCCCAGTTCCTTCTTACTGCCCAGTCTCCGCGTCTGTCTGGCTTCACATACCCGCTGTTATTTTCGATCCGAAATCAAGTCATGGTAGAAAGCACATGCACGCACTTGCGCAAACGCACATACAAAACCAAACACACACAATTATATATATATATATGCTTATTGATCATATGTTCACCTGTCACTCAGCCTATTCATAAATTCTCATATTCTCTCTCTCTTACTCTCTCTCTCTCTCTCTCTATATATATATATATATATATATATATATATATATATATATATGTATGAAGGATATTTAGGCAGTAAGAATTAATATAAACATGTTTGTTAAATACAACTGACAAGGTTTGTTTACGTAGGTATATTTTTTAAATCTCAAACAGCGCCAGTAGTTTGTGGCCGTCTTCGACGTTGTTGCTATTAAAGCGTGTTTTTTTTATTATTATTTCTATTATATATATATATATATATATATATATATATATATATATATATATATATATATATATATATATATATATATATCCTATATATATATATATATATATTTAGTTGTTGTTCACGCTTAACGATCATCAGGCCAACTCTTTCTCTGATGATCAAACTGTTTGTCTGATGATGGCAAAAGCGTGAAACCCAGGCTCACAAACCACATATCCATACAAATGAATATGTTAGTTCTATCACTGATATTGAACGCTTACCACTATTTACTGACAAAACTAACATGGCCGTTAATCTCAAAAAGGACCTCCAATCGATGGTAGGAATTGGCTGGTTAACTTTTAATGCCTCTAAAACAAAACTGCTCTCTATTACTCACCACAAGGAACCATCCTTGACGCCCATTAGAATGTCTGATGCTCAATTCCACGAGAGCACCTCTTTGTGACTGCTTGGTCTCACACTGTCCACTGACCTGAGATGGAATAATTATATTGAATCAATTGCTGCATCCACCGCAAGGAAAGTTGGTTCTCTGTGTCGCACCAAAAAGTTTTTCTCTCCCGATTCCATCCTTCTATAAATCAACCATTCGCCCTTGCATGGAATGCTGCCAAATAAATGGTCTGGTGCCCACGCTGTTCGCCTTAAGGACATCGACAAGATACAGAGACGGATAAGCAATGTGGTTGTTCCTGAACTGACATCTCGTCTACAGTCGCTTTCTCACATACGTGCCGTCGCCTCCCTCTGTCTTTTCTACAAATACTTTCACGGTAACTGCTCCAACGAGCTACTTTCGCTAGTTCCAAGACTGCATGAATTTAAGCGTGCTACTAGGCTGGCATCACGGTTCCACCCTTTCACTGTCGAAACGGTTAAATGTGACCGTCTCTTCTACTCCAATAGCTTCGTGTCTCGCACCTCTCGTCTGTGGAATT